TACCGTTGTACCACACTGGCAGGAGTTGGAGGCACCACTGTTCGCTGTACGGGCTCTTGGTAAGATGGTCGATAGCAACGAGGATGTTGTGCTACCCCAGCTCATGCCACTCCTCGTTCAGATCCCCAGCCACGAGAAACTGCGATTTGCAACGATCATGGTCCTTGGCCGGTATACTGAATGGACCGCGGCGCATCCGGAGTATCTTGAGTCTCAGTTCTCCTACATTGTTTCCTCCTTCAATACCGACTCGAAAGAGATTGTTCGGGCCGCTGCTCTTTCGATTAAATTCTTCTGTACCGACTGCAAGTATTTACTCAGCAACCAAGTCTTGCAACTCCAGACCTTTTACGATTCTGTTCTGGATAAGCTGCCAGATTTTAGTAAGGAGGAAATTACCGAGGGGGTGGCAAATGTGGTTGCTGTTCAGCCAGTCGAAGAAGTCTACCGCCTACTCAAGCTATATTGTGACCCTCTCGTCCATCGACTGATGGAGAAGGCCAACCACATCACAGATGATGATAGCAAGTTGGCTCTCGCAGGTAAGATAACAACCCCTGATCACGAATAGAGTACGCCGCAAATACTTGATACTAACAACGTTCACAGATCACCTACAACTCATCACCATATTTGTGCAGAACGTGATTCCATCAGTGAACCCCGGCCAAGAAAACCCAGCCGTCAAATATTGGCAAGAGGTCTTCCCCATTCTGGCAACTGTTTTGGACAACTTTTTAAGTTTCACCCCAATCTGCGAACGAGTATGCAGATGCTGGCGAAGCATGATCATCTCGTACCGCACAGCCATGGCGCCCTTGCTCCCCGAAATGGCCAACAAACTCGCACACGGATTCACAACTTCCCGGGAAGGATGCTTCCTTTGGGTAACATCTGCGATCCTTAGAGAGTTTTCAGAGGACCGAGAGCATGTCGACCAAAATACAACGAACAGTATCTACTCCTTTTTCGAAGCTCAGGCAACGACTTTCTTGCGGGTTATGACTCAGCTGCAGCCTAAGGAACTCCCTGATGTCATTGATGACTTCTTCCGGCTCCTAATTGACGCACTGCTCTACTACTCGCAGCGACTCATCCCATCCCAGCTTATGGGCCCGATCTTCGAGGCTGCTATATATGCTCTGACCCTAGAGCAACGCGATCCGCTCACATCTACTCTTCACTTCTTACGAGACTTCTTATCCTATGGTGGTGATAATCCCGCCACTAGCGACAGAATTCCAGAGCCTGCTGCAACGCAAATCCGGGAGTTCGTCAAGACCATCTTGCTTCAGCAGGGGCCTAATCTTGTAAAGCAAGTGATGGCTGGGATGATGATTACCTTCCCACGAGATTGCTTTGCTGATGGAAGTGGAGTTCTCCTTGCTCTGTTTGAGCTCCTCCCTTCCCAAACCACTGAGTGGGTGTCACACACGATCCACTTACTGCCAGAAGGTACTGTGTCCCCTGTGGAGGCCGACCGTTTGATGACCAAAATACGGGAGAAGCTTCAGAGCACCGATGCCGGCGGGGTGCGGGCTGTTCGCGTTCTGCTTCAGGATTTCACCAATACATATCGACGCAGGAATGTAGCACCTCGCGATGGGCTTGGTCAACTCGAAGCTACACGATTCCAATTTTCTGGCTGATTCCACAACCGAGGTTGGCCTCATGAAGCCAGCAAATGAATATACGAGACGTAGCCTGTTTGATAGACAGGTCAACTCGAAGACCCAACATTGCTTTAAGCGATTGGATCATATACGAGGCGATTTTAAGAGGTAGATTAGATAGCAGTTGCCATCGTGGTGGAGTCATGGGATAGGCAATGTGTTGGGGGGCCATATGGGACTTGCAATAGTGGAAAAATAATAGGAAGTAGGCATCTCGGGGCTGAAGGGTACGACACGGGATGGCATAGGATGGATGGAGCTGGGGTGGCATGGAACACCCGACCAAATGTAGATGAATTCAACTAGCGCGAGGACTTCCTTGGCGTTCATATAACTATATGCTGGCGATAGAGCAATAATGAAGGAAGGGCAGAGGCTTGTGAGAGGCGCGTCATGACTGGCCTGGAAGAGGGTGGGCGAAAGGAAATTTGACGAAGAGTCCTGTAAACTAGATGCGAATAGATTGATGAGCCTCTTCATCCACGTCTACACTCCGCACAAGTGAAAATGGCAGGCATTCTCCGCACTTGTCATCAGCGCCTTATAGGGTGCAGGTCGAACGGGCTATCGTCCGATTATTGTGACTCACTCCAAACATGCTGGGATCTTTTACCTCCGATTCAGAGCTATCAGTCTAAAAAATGTAACGAGACGAAGCCAAAAAAAAAAAAAAAGTGAGTTGTATAGCCGCAGCTGGGGAAGGGGGGGGGGGCATTTTATACTTTCTACATACTGCGAGACAAAACCCAAAGAGAGGGACACAAAGCAAGATTTTTGAAGATGGCGAGTCAGCGAACAAGCGAGAAGGTCGATCTGATTCCCTGGGATCCGGTCGACGATGGTCATTACCAGAGGATGTATTCCCAGAGGATCGCCTGCGGGTGGAGAGAGGACGAGGTTGCCCTCTGGAAGGAAGAGGTGCTGGCCGGGCATGTCTTCTTCTACTGGATTGTACGTTGTTTCCGAAGCTCTCTGGATTCAGATCACTGGCTGGCTTTTGATGGGCTAATATGGAAGGGGGTTTCGATTGTTACAGGTTCTTTCTGACAACTTGGAAGATCGAGAGGGTCTTCTGGCTGCGCATATACAGAAATATCCGATTGTACGTGGACTTCGTCAAGACCAAGAGGTTGCTACGGGAAAGTTCTTGCTAACATGAAGATTCACTTAACAGGAGAAGGAACCTCTCAAAGACACTGTTGAGATGGTTGGCAAAGAGCCTCGAAAGCCCTCTGGGAGGACTTTCATCCCAATAGGCCACATTTCGCTCAGACTTATCCCAGACTTGAATACTCAGTTCTCCCTTCCCCAGGATACTATCTGGGTCAAGTCGCTCTATGTCTCATGGTAAGAGATCTCCAACCGCCTAAAGTTCCCTCACGAACCTCACTCTCAGAACACTCACACGGCTGGCTGGCTGGGTTTAGGGCTCTCCAGGCCGGCGGGTTCGGCCGCAGCGCCATGGCCCAGCTGGAGCGTCTGGCCGCGGCGCCACCGTACAACGCCTCAGTTGTGGCGCTCGACACCATCAGAAGGGACTACCACCTCTCGGAGGAGCACCTGCGCTGGCTCTACGACCGGAGAGGGCTGGCGAGGCCGAAGAGGCACGTCTCGACCCAGGACTGGTACGCCTCCCAGGGCTACGAGCAGATCCCAAACTCCGCCGTGTCCTTCTACGAGAACAAGGACGAGGACGGCGGCGTGCAGCGTCTCCCGGTCATATTTCTAAGCAAGAAACTGCTGCCTGCGGATGGCTTGAGGGGCTGAACTTGGGAGAGAGTTCCCCCTAGTTTGCAACCACAAGTAGGTAGCTTTAGGCTTTCGATAGATTGATAATGCCTTACGTACCAATAACATCCTTCAGCCGGGGGCTTGCTCGGCCAATAACGCATCGAGACAACCTTTAGAAAACCAACTTGAATATCATCCCCATCAAGTTTATATAAGCAACGCTGCTAAGCCCACCTCTAGCGCAAAGGCTACATCCGCAGAGCGGCCGAGGGATTAAATCAAGCCGAGTGAGGGGGAGGGACGCATCCCAACATTCCGCTGCAACTTGGGAGCTACTCAAGGTCCTTACCCCAGATTGGTATTTTTGGCTGTCCACTTGGGCTACCAACCAACCAACCAACACCGGTGTCCGGTCGCAAGGGTCTGTGTATGCGGAACAGTAATGTGGGTGACGAGCCGCCCACCCCGGTGTATGCATATGAAGAGCACAAGAGATGGCCAAATGCTTGGTTGCTTGGTCACAGATCCCATAGTTTGATCGAAGTTCTTCCAACGGTCCAGAAAGGATCAAGCAAAGAGCAAACAAGGCGTTTTGCCAAGTAGAACGACGCTAGTGAGGGGGTAGCTGCTTTTCTGTGGTCAGAAGTACTAGTAATAAGGCTTGGCCGCCCATCTGTCGATCCCTCATTTTCCCCTTGGCAAGTGCCAACGCGAATGGAAGAGAAGGGCCTAGGCTCAAAAGCAGGGGGAGGCTGAGGTAAGATTGCTGGTTAAGCAACCGTCAGAGTCGCACGCTGAGAAGTGGCTATCAGAGGTGGAAGTGTAAACTTCAGCATGTTCAAGACGGCATAGAGCTGAGTTTGGCAAAAGAGGCATAGTAGCTGGCATTTCACAGTGCTGGGCTATCACCGGGTCTGCTGAATGAAGGAGTGGAACGGATTTTCATCAGGAGAAGAAAAAGAAGATTAGAGTTCGAATAATGGATATAAAAGCGAATAAAGAGGAAGTAAACCGTGAGAAAAAACCCATATGTAGTAAGAAAGAAGAAGATGAAAAAAAGAAGGCCTTTCCTGCCAAGCACAAGCGCAAATAAAAAAGATGCGTGGTACGCGTGCCAGAGATTCGCGTACATGACATAGGGAACATTTCTGGGGACCTGGGATTATCAATTACCCAGTCCACCCCAATCATCTCCGTGTTCTGCCCCAATCCAGGGTCACCTCTTGCTCCCGCTCTTTGTCCTCTTCCTCTTTTTTCCCTTTGAAACAAGAATGCCTGTACACGAGTACACCGAGGATGTGTGGTTGTAGAGTGGCTCATTGCTGTTCGAGGGAGGATTGCAGAATGACCAGGTCGCTCTCGGCGCAAGCGTTTCGCCAAAAGGCAAAACACAAAGAGAAGTGTAAGACTTATCTGTGAACCCATCCAACGATGTAAAATAAAGTTAACGAGTGGTCGTGTGCATCGCATCGGTCGTCAAATATTCAGGACTGAAGTTGTCCTGTCGTAGGGAACCTCTTCCCTACAAAAATGCATGCTCCTCTCTTCCCAGGCCTTCTCTACCCTTCATTACATATACTCTTTTTTCCATTCTTTTTACATCAAGACACACTTGGAGCAGCATCCAGCCTCTCGCTCCTCGCCGTCCATGTCTATCGGCTTTGAGGGTCCGCCAGGTCCGGAGCTGCCGCCGTTGACGCCAGGAGAGTATCCTTGCAGCTCACGGTTGTATCTGCGGATTTCGCGGACGATGTCGTAGAATGCCTTCTCGACATTCAGACGGGACTTGGCTGAGGTCTCGATGAATTTGCAGCCGAATGAACGGGCCAATGCCTCTCCCTCTGTGTAAGAGAAATAAAACGTCAGTATGATGGGATTCGCGCTAGACTGTGAATAAATCAATTGGCGCGAGCAACGTACCTTGCCTAGTGACCTCACGCTCACCCTCCAAATCGCACTTGTTTCCAACAACGACCATGGGGAAGCTGTCCTTGTCCTTGACTCTCAGAATCTGCTGCTGGAAAACAGTGATTTCCTCGAAGCTCTGTCGCGAAGTGATTGAGTAGACAAGCAGAAAGCCCTCTCCTGTCCTCATGTACTGTTCGCGCATAGCGCTGTATTCCTCCTGGCCAGCGGTATCGAGAACATCGAGCAAGGCGGTCTCATCGTCAATGTTGCACTGCTTGCGGTATGAATCTAGAAAATTGTCAGCGATCGATAATTCCATTTGGTGTGAAGCCCGGAAATGATGTCGCTTGCGACGAAAGAATTTCCGAGGTCCAAATTGATCGCCCCTGAGCCGTGAATCCGATAGGCTCAATACGGGCTTGAGCGACGCACCTTCAATTGTTGGATCATACTCGTCCACGAAATGGGCCTGAATCAACTGAATGGTCAGGCAAGATTTACCGACACCACCACCTCCGACAACGACGAGCTTGTACTCTCGTAGGAACTGCGAAGAAATCACAACATGTTAGCACGTCAAGGACCGATTGGCTAGACCAGCGCTCGTGCCAGTTTGCACTGGATGTTTGCGGATTCGAGTAAGAACTGTGCTTACCTTTGCTGCTGAAGCCATCGCGTCTGCTGATTTCAAATGCGAATCTGGTTTGAGGATGGAAAAAGAGGACGGCAGCTCAGGCAGCTGTCAAGAGCGAGCTCCAAGGGGGAAAATTGACTCGCGCCGGGCAGGGGGGCTGGCACCAGAAGCGGGCGTACAGTACGTCGCGTACAGTACAGTAGGGCGGCTGGTTAAGGGCGGGAAAATAGAAGGTTAAAATCGGCGGCCGAGAGGAGGGCGAGTCGAGGAGGCGTGAGCAAAAGAAGAAGAAAAAAAACAAGTCTATGAGGTAGGGAGAGAACAAGGCAATGAGGGAAAGAGTTTTGAGAGAGATGAAGATAGCAGAATCAGAGACGGGAGCTGGGGATGATAGGGGAGAGGGAGAGAATGAGAGATTGGAGTCGGCAGATTTTAGAAGGAGTGGCAGGCTGGCTGGGTCAGGTTAGGTTGGAGGTACCTCACTGGACGAGCAATAACCTCCCGGCTTCAGGTAGTTCCTGAGATGAGCGCTGCTTGTTCAGTGGCCAAGAGACAGTGGGGATTGACATGGAGGTCTGCACCAATATGCTGATGGGCGCTGATTGGAGAATCGCGGGGCAGGTGGAGCCGCTGGCAAGAGTATGACCAAAGACGGTGCTGCTCCAGAAGTATCGCGATACCTCAGGCTCGCTATTATTAGCGTGGCTGGGCAAGTACCTCCCTAGTCCGGAGCAAGTATTATTAATGTGCTAGAGGTAAGTCCGGTAGCCTGCCTAGGAAGGCAAGAGGGTATACCGCACCTCTGCCTAGCAACTACTTGTACACCCTGGAAGGCACTGGCCATTCCCCAACCAATCGTCACAAAGATGGAAACATGGAAACGTGGGAGCAGGCCAGCTAGGCCCCTTTGGTGCTCTGGTGAGTGCACATGTGACGACTGGACACATAGGAGAGGCAGACGTAGGTGAGGTATGGAGGCTTTGTGCTCTGCCGGTCCTCCCTGGAGATGGAGGAATCCCGCCCTTTGGCGGCCAAGCTGCAGGAATTGGCAGCAGGAGGGAATGCTGATTAGCTCATTTTGTTCTGATGCGGGTCTTCAGGTCAGGTACACTACCTAGGTATACTTGCTGTTGTTAATAAGTTCGCTAACTGATTGCTAGCACGCCAGTCCTGAGTTGCGCTCAACCATAGCACATGGGCATGGACCGAGGATTCCACATATTTATCGCCGACTTCCTTTGTACCCTGCCATCCCCTGTCCGACCCCTGGTATTGCATGAAAGTACCCGTAGGCACGGGCGGCGTGCCCCATTCGAAGCTATGACCATCACGAGCCATGACGGGATGGATGAACCGCTACGCTTCGAAGGATGGAGAGCACTATTCCTTGCACTCGGCCTCCTCTGAAATCGCGCGCTTCTTCAACCGCTCCCCGCTCTTCCATCTCGCGATGCGGCGCTGGAACCCTAGAGGATAGGGCGGCCCGCGGACGAGGCCACTATGCGGCGGCCGACAAAGTCCCTATATGCAGCGCTCAACTGTGACATCCAAAGGCGCGCGCTTGTCATCGTCAAATCGACAGCCAGTCCCATCATGCGCATGGAGGTGGTGCGGTGCCTTTATTTAACTTACAGTGGTACGGCCCACGCGTACCAGCACCTTGAAGAGGTACCTGGCCAGCTCGCCTCCCACACCTAACCTCCTAACCTAGAAGCTACTAGTGCTACCTAAGGTAAGTGGATAGTCCTCTCCAGGCTCCAAGGCTCGTGGACTTCAGGGGTGGTGCAGTGATTAGACCAACCGGGTGGATTTGGAAGCCCGTGGGAAGAACTCTTCCAACGCATGGAGGCGGCAGAGCTGCTATTCTTGTGCATCACGCATCGGGAAGAAGGCTGCGTCGCCCTTCTGCCTGGTCCGTCCCATCTTGATCTGCCCCATCCCACGTTCTAGCCTGTCTATGAATCACGATACGATCTACTGGATACTTGCGGCGGGAAGGAATAAGAAGCCATCCTATCGCGCTGCATGGAATACCGATGGAAGTACCTAGACCAAGAGCAGAGAACGTGCTTTTCAAAGGGCACCCATACCATGTAGACATTTGCTCCAGAACGCGCTTCAGGCAGGCCGCTTCCATTGCGAAGCCCTCGTACGCTTTACGATGTGCTGTATGAACTGGGCTCGGGGTTAAGATTCCTACGGAACATACAGGTGCCACCAACTCTGCTCAGATTACTACTAATAGCAACGCCTGCGAGTGAGTGTCCTGACATTCCTCCTGTGCTGTAACCACTCTAGTACATGGGTGTGTGTGAGAGGGTGTCTTGAGTAGGTCGGTTATGCTGGCATCCAAATGCTAATTACACATGTTTACAAACCAAAGTCCGGACTATCCTGTGCGACTATGCTTATATCATGTGAGGGAGGAAAAATTTTACGTTCATTCGTGTCGATATTTGTGCGCTCGTGTCTAGGAGATACGCGAAATGGGGTAGTTGAGATGAACATTGCCCAACCCCATCGAAGAGAGGCCCAGCCAATTAAGCCGACATGAGCTTCTAGAGACCGTCAGCCTGTGATATTTCATATAATATAAACGTACATGATGACCCTGTCTTTAGCCCAGTAAAACGTGGGTATCGTGAACCCCTGGCTGATCCATGTCCCAAGGCGGGACCGACACGGTACAGAGGCCATCCACATGGCCTCGTCCTCGGTTTATACATTGCGGTGCATCGTTTTACTCCAGATCTACTGCTCGATGCTGATATTTTGACTTAAAGTATCGTTCTCGGCACCCATGCAAAGGTCCTCTGAAGCATCTGGGTACATCGGCATATGGAAAATGACCATGACATGAACCATGTCGTTCACCGTAATAATCGAGATATCATGCTCCACCGCATTCTCTCTTACCTTCTCTTTCATATGACCACCGCACATTTGCGTTTGTCAAGGATTCGAGTCGCCTGATGAGTCGGAACTGGTTCTCCGTTCCCTATGCAAGGTTTTATCTGACTGCTACTAATCGACAAGCCCACTAGTTTGGCGTTGATGATCTACCGCATAGTCATAGAACAGCATGGTTATCCAAACCTTTTGAGTCAGGGCACTTCAGGTCGAACCACGGAGCAGCCAACTACCACAATGCCCTTGTCTCCTGGCCCGCATTCCGATACGTGGGGTCATATTTAAGCTCATAGGTATTGAGAATCTACATACTACTAAGGCTCAAGCTCATCAACTACAGATATGTACGTGTCCAAATCTATGCTGTACCAAGTCGTGTTTTCCTAGTTCACTTCTTCAGCTTCAGAATCATCCTCACCTTCCGTCTTTACTCGTCGCCCCTTCACGCCCGCCTCGACCTCGGCAACGAGACTCTCTAGTAGCGCTTCGTCCCTGAAAGGAAGTCCGTTAGCATTCAAGCTGATGTACCGGAAGTTTAGGGTAGAGGGAAGAGACTCTTACTTTCCGACCAGTGTCACCGTGTTGCGCGTCTTGCCCCAGCGAGGATAACTGCCAACTTTGATTCCTTGAGGTTCGACTCTTTCCGCAAGCTGCGTCAGGTATGGCGCAACAGCACTCTCTGACATTGGCGTTGATATGATGATCCGGGTCGTTCCCTTGCCCTCTGGGTTCGCCAATCTTGGGAGCACAGAAGAACTCAACCCATCGAGGAGTTTCTCAACTACGGACAAAACATAAGCTTCAGGCCACTACTCTCCCAGTGATGCCCTGCTATACTTACATATACGTGGTACTCCTGGTAGAATGTGAATGTTACCATTCACAACAGCGACAGGAACCCAGGCGTCTTCATCGGAGAAGATCACCTGTTCTTTGAGATCCCGGGTGTCGTCCGTTGGCAGCTCTACCATGCGCAACTTAGCCTTCAAGGCAGGTGAGTCGACGTCCCAGTCAAATTTAGGTTGCGAGGGGTGGGGTTTGGACATCCGCTTCATCTTGTCGAACGCTTCAGCGTGTAGCTTCAGTGGGAGGCCGAATGCCTTGGCGATGGACTGGTAGGTGATGTCATCGTGCCTGCCAAAACGATCAACATGTCATGAGTGCGATGAGAGAGATGCAGATCAATCTCACGTCGGTCCAATTCCTCCACTGTGAGTACCCCCTGGTTAACTTCGTGTCATTCGATACAAGACGGTGGATGGTGGGAGTGCAAAGTACCTGGTCACCACAAAGTCGTATCGCTCACTCATCCTGCGAGCTGCCTCAATGATCTCGCTCTCATCATCTTCAATCACCTCGACCCGTTTCAGATTCTTCGAAAAGGGTTACATTAGCCATCCAAATGCTGGGTGACCAGCCCCTGGCGTCGTAGACACTTACAATCCCTAGCTTAAAACACCACTTCGCAAAGTAGGCGGAGTTGGTCTAGAGCCCGTTGGCACTCGTTAGTCGATAGTGCAACACGAGGTATCCTGGCGCCAAGTGATGCACCGACGGGGGGCTCTCACATCAACGGTCTGCGTTTCTTGTTCAGTCAATTGGTTCCCAAACACGGCCGGGGCTGGCGGTGTGGCGTACCTTTCCGCCGAGGACTTCGTCCCCGATAATCAGACATGCCGCCGTGTGAATTGTGCGCGCCTGGCGCTCTCCTGCAGAAGCCACCATCTTTAATGCCGACGGTCGGTACAAGGAGGGGGCTGCTGGTGAGAGGTGGTGGGCGACTTGAGACAGACGACGGAACATGTGAGCTCTGTAAGCATGCGATATGCAGGCCAGGGCTTTCGGCGAATGGAGGGTCGATCCTCAAGGAGACAGTGCGGAGTCGAGCCGGAACGTCGCAGAGAGCGCAATACCTGACTTATATAAGGTACTATTCCGAGACACACCATGCACGTAATAGACAGCATTTAGTGTAGTCCTGGGCCGAAGTCGCCTTGCTGGGCGACGCCAAGCAGGTAGCTCATCCGTAGTGACGGCACCACAAGATCCTGCAGGTAATGCATTTTGATGCCCGGAAGCTGTAAGGGCTGATTACCATAGCGGCATTACTCGCTGCAATATAATCGGATCAAGTAAATACAATGTAAATGGCACGCTCAATTGGTTACCGAATATGCCTTGATATCGATTAGGTACTAGGTACTTGCTTATCGGTGTTGTTACTACCGGAGTCTAAGTACCGTGCAATCGCGGGGCTCGACCAACTTGCGTCAGACCAGCAGCAACCACCTCCCCACCTCAACTCCACGCATCTCCTTACCAACGCCTACTTCTCTGGTGATACAGATCCTATTCCAACACGACCCAATCAAGCTAGGAAATTCTTTCTCCTAGCTTTCCATAAACATGGTATGCTGGGTAGCGCCCTATCCGATAAACCTCATTCTTTCCAAATTGCTAACTCGTGTTGTGCTTCAAAGGCTTCCGAATCCCGACTATACACATTCTCAAACGAGACCAAGGAGCATCTTCGCAAATTCCGACTGACAACCTCTCGAGCAAAGGGCCCGCAAGCGGTTATCTGTACGTCGATTTCACCATCCGAATATCCGAGCCGATCCTCCTCTCAGATTCTGGCGTGACATTCTGGCTAATGTCGCCATGTATTTAGATCTCATTGACAAGAACACGCATGAGATTCGCAAAGAAGATTCCACAGTCTATACCTCCCTCGAAGAGATCGCCGACGAGCTTCCCGATAATTCGCCACGATATGTCCTATTAAGTTATCCTTTAACAATGGTACGAGGCCAAACACCCCACTCATCGAACACAATTCTAACGTGCGTGCTCTGTGCTTAGCCGGATGGTCGTCTGTCCGTGCCATACGTTCTACTATACTACCTTCCCGACACTTGTAACGCTGAGATGCGAATGCTCTATGCTAGTGCAAAGGAGCTGGTGCGCAATACCAGCCAAGTGGGCAGAGTAATTGATATCGAAAGTACGGACGACCTTGACGACATCCCAGAGAAGCTCAAATCGCAATAAATATGACATTCTCCAAAGGCATATGGGTACACACATATACGAGCGAGTCCTTCCAATAAAAGTAGTGCATCGACGTTTATAGAGATGTCCCTTTCAGATCAGTCCATTGCTTGTATTGATTTCCTTTCGCTTTTCTATTCTGGTAAGATGGATTTGGTATCAACTCCTAATTGTGCCGCCACTCCCCGTACTACCTGTCTAAACGCTGCGCAAGCTGGGCTGTCAGGAAACGAGTCAAAATAGCTCTCACCGTAATCACACGCCATCCCAATTCTTGGGTCAAGAGGCACGGCTCCCAAAAAGGGAATACCCATCTCGTCTGCGAGGGCTTTGCCACCGCCTGTGCTTGCTCTGAATATCTGACTCTCCCCTTTGCACTTGGGACAAACAAAGCCGCTCATGTTCTCTGCCAGTCCCAGAATCCTAATGCCTGCCTTTTTGCAGAAATCAAGTTCCTTTCGCACATCCAGAAGAGAGACTTCCTGTGGTGTTGTGACTACCACTGCCCCATCGATACCGCTTTCCTTGAGGAAAGAGTTGACGCTGAGATGCTCGTCGCTCGTACCCGGCGGAGTATCTACCAGCAGGAAGTCCAGATCCCCCCATTCCACATCCTTCAAGAACTGCTTGATCAGCCCGTTCTTCTTGGGTCCTCTCCAGATGACGGCGTCGTCTCTGTTCGGTAACATGAACTGGATGCTCATCACCCCCAGGTTATCCATCACCCAGACTGGCGACCAGCCGGAGCCGCTCACGTGGATCGTCTCGTCCTCCACGCCCATCATCTTGGGTATGCTGGGCCCGCAGATGTCAGTGTCCATGATCCCCACCATGCTGTCCGGGTTGGTCGCGAACGCATGGGCGAGCAGCGTCGTGAAGGTGCTCTTCCCCACGCCGCCCTTGCCGCTCAGGACCAGGATCTTGTGCTTGACATTCTCCAGCCGCGCCGAGATGAGAGGGATGTCCGGGTCGGGGCCCTTGGGCGCTGAGGCGCAGACGGCCTGGTTGGGGCATCCTGCGCATGAGTCTGCTTTCCCGGCCTGCTGAGACTCTGGGCCGGGGCAGTGTTCCGGTTCCGGCGCCACGAGCTGGGGCTTCTGTTTTAACGGGTTCGCCAGGACATTTTCTACTGGCTCTGGGTCCTCGAGTGAGGGTGCCATGCTGCAGATATTTAATATGATTCAAATGAGTGGTGTATTGCGCTTTGCTGGGTATATTTGGGGAAGTAAAATGGCTGAGATGAGGTGCAAGGTGAGGTGCGATATGAGAGTGGCGAGACTCAGCGATTCAGTCAAGCTTAATAATGCAAGAAACTACGGGAGTTTAATCTGCCTAGACTGGGATGTTGTAGCATATGCTCCTACCGGCTAGCGAATGAGATTAGGCTAAGGTAATGAAAGATAGAGATCAAGTTCTAGCTGTGTAGACTTTATCAATAAAGATTATATATCATAATTTAATGCAGGAGGGTGTCTGTAACTGAAACCTCACTGTCTCTTGTATGGTGGACTCGCCCTTTCCCCACCCTTCTTCAGCTTGATTAGCTACAAGCTGACATTGAAACCAATACACCAAAAGACTAGCTCTACTTTGTTTTGGGGACTATGGCGGGTTCTCTTCATTATCACGAGTTATTGATGAGTCAATAAGCAAAATTTACACCCTTATCATTATTTATATAACTTTTATACTGCTTTATTGTTGCTCTTGCAGATAACACTTAGCTTGCAGTTGCTCGTCAATATGGTATCTGATTTATTTTGTCACCCTGCCATAAGCACCTTGGCGCCATCATAAACCGCCAATTAACCCACAATGACTAATAAAGAAACGGCGTCTGCATGCGGTTTGCCGTTTGGTGGGATTAATATATGTAAATCATTCGGCGTTTTAGGTACCCTTCTAGTAGTCCACGGATTCGGTTCGGACATAGGATCGTATGAACGAGCAACCACATCTTGAGCAACCGTGGTCTCGTGGTTGTTTCCAACTAGAAATTTCATCGGAAAATGAAGAGCATAAAATATTAGAGATTGAAAGGAGATACTCAGCATCACTAGATCAAGAACAGGACGATATCATGAAATATGGCTATACTGTTTGCGCGCGACAACGAGGCGTATGTCTGTAGGGTAGTTAAACTGAATGCGAAGAAAAAATCCTTATCGCATATCACCCCACCCCCACCTGTATTTTTCTTATTTGAGGCAGCGATAAGATCAGGGCTGGCTTTGCGATGAGACGATCTACTCACGAATAGAAAGATTTATACGAAATGGCCGCCACAACTGATACCAACGCGAAAGAGACTGTCGCCGCACTGAGAGAGAGTCTCTGCTCCGAGGCCACTCCTCTGCCCCTGCGTTTCCGTGCCCTATTTTCCCTCAAGCATGTTGCGAAAACTTCAGACGACCCCGCCACAGCTGTAGCGGCCATCGAGGCCATCGCGGCCGGCTTCAGTTCGCCCTCCGCGCTTTTGAAACACGAATTAGCTTACTGTCTTGGACAGACTGCTAATACTGCTTCTGTTAAGCCACTGCGCGCAGTTTTGGCTGACTTGAAGGAGGACCCAATGTGCAGACACGAGGCGGCCGAGGCTCTCGGCGCTCTGGGCTGGGCTGACAATTTGGACATTCTTAAGGAATACCGTGACCGCGCTGGAGAGGATATTTCCATCATCGAAACATGCGAGATTGCTATTGATCGCATTGAATGGGAGAACTCCAAGGCGAGACAGGAAGAGAAGTTGCGATCGAGGCAAGTTTGAATTCTAGCTCATACTCGGGATGACTCAGTTATGCTAACTAACACCAGCGACTTTGCCTCTGTCGACCCGGCCCCCCCGATGCCAGAGTCTGGTAAATCGGTCGAGGACCTTGGCCAGGACCTGATGAACACGAAGCTACCACTTTTCCTCCGCTACCGAGCCATGTTTGCTTTGCGCGACCTCGCCTCCCCGCCCGACCTGCCCACCGCTGTCCCCGCCGTCCTCGCCTTGGCAAAGGGCTTCGAGGATAGCTCTGCCCTTTTCCGCCACGAGATTGCCTTTGTCTTCGGCCAGCTGTCCCATCCTGCTTCGATTCCAGCTCTCACGGCTGCTTTGAGCAATGTTGACGAGGCAAGCATGGTGCGACACGAGGCTGCGGAGGCGCTGGGTAGTCTGGGCGAGGAGGAAGGTGTCGAGGAGACATTGAAGAAGTTCCTGAAGGACAAGGAGCGAGTCGTCGTGGAGAGCGTCATTGTGGCGCTCGACATGGCAGAGTACGAGAAGAGCACGGATACGGAGTATGCGCTGATTCCCGAGGTTGGAAGCGCTTCGGCATGAATATAAAAAGGCATCATTTTATTCAGCGTAGATTGGTAGATCGATTACGGTCGGAACGGAAAAAGCATGTTTTGATTTTAGTTATTCTCGTGCCATCTGCTCGTTTGTTAGTGCTACTCAGCAAACCGCTATGAATGATCATCACGTACGAATTACCGCATTTACACAGGTAAATGACGGTAGATCCTTCATCAGCACCACGTAGCTGGACGTTTGTGTATGTGACCTCTTCTCGACCGCATTTCGGGCACTTCTCGTGGACAACGCTGTCGGTCTGAATCTCGTGTCGCACCACGTTTTGGACGCTTGACTGTAGTTTTTGACGGAGGAATGATGGGAAATCAGCGGGCTTGCTGCTCGTTACAATCTTCTTCGAACCGGTATCTGTGATAAAGGTCAATTGTGCTCCAGCGTCCAATGATGATCGGACGAGTACTAACCTTTATTCTCCGCACCACAGCACTCACAGCGGAGAGTGTTCCTGTCACTCCCTCTTGTGGATGGCAATAGATTGCCGCAATCCACGCAGAAGACCAGAGACCCGATTGCAGCCATGGTGATATTTTGAAACACAGCGGTGTGGTAATTCTCCAAGTTCTGGGGATCGGCGCCAACTTTTTTTGCGACGAAATCTGATGCAAAATTTGGGCGGTGACGAAGGCAGGAAATATGATAAGACACCTAGATAAACTCAACTAGGCTAGAGCCCAGGAGATTCGGTGGGGCGGAATTAACATGCGTCCTGAAGGGCCCTGGACGCTACGCGTGCACGGACCATGAGAAGCCTCTGAGCACCCCAGGTGCAAGGCTGGGGGAGTCTAGCAGCTCGAACCGTGATCATCTCGACATCAGTCCAGGTCTCGCGTTGGATTTGTTATCATGTTTGTTACCCGCGCGCCGGACCACGCCAATCAGTAACCTGCATGGGAACTGCATATCGATAAAACAGCGAACGAGCTCTCTCGGATTCACTTTGCGACGGCCGAATCGATCGAATGCGACAACACCCGGGTCACTCCTTCCTTGCCCTTGACCATGTACACTCAACACATCTTGTCGATTGAAGGAACTTAAAGCAATGGAGCGGCCACAGCCACTCCCCGCGGTGGCGGGGCCTCCAAATGGGAACTCTGCTCAGCACACGTCAGGCGACCTGCCGTTAACCTCAAAACCTCTTACTTTTCGCGAGTCGTTACCGTACTCGCCACACATCACCACCCTTCCACCTGTACCTGGTTCGTATCTCTCTCCCGACCGCGAATCGGCTTAGTGCCTCTCTTCAGCAGTATACGCTGACATTGCAACTATTCAGACCTGGTTCCTGATGCGACACTTGGCTCCGGCTACCCAGCCCCAGGACTTCGAGACCTATTCTCCAGCAATGAGCTTGATCATTTGAACAGGGAAGCGATTGCTCAGGGCCACCTGTCCAAAGGCGGGAAACAGCTTGTTGAGAATATACTCCACGAGATGAAGCCCCCTCAACGAACGAAATAGTATGGTTGACCCTTCTTTTCTTGCTCGCCCCTTCCTCCTACGTGCGTGCGTTTAGTCACGGTGTGCTAATGGCTACTTGCAGCAAGTTTCGGGCTGTGCCTGGCATGACTTCATCCCCCAATGCGACCAAAAATATACAGCAGGAGTTAACTCCAGTTACTAAGGTGCTATATGAGCGAGTGGGCGACTACTTCAAATCTACAAAACCGAATTTGCCAAGCTCGTCCCTGAACGGACAAGTCAAGATCCAGCCGAGTGAAGGGCCCTCCCCGACGCAGCCCTCAACCTCTTCTCTTGTCAAGAACCACAACAACAATTCACGCGCACACCCATTGAATTCGAGTCGAATCGAAGTTGCAATCCCTGCTAGAAGCACCTTTGACGCAACGGAATATGCCGATCACCTCGCCCCAACACCCTCGGAGCCTTGGACGAATGGTCCGATTGAGCAGATGCCACTGGGCCCAAGTCATGCTACGCCTTTGAGCCTGGCCCCCGGTATGCTCCAGTCGCCTGAAGAGTCGAAAATGCCCGTCTTCCATATTGAGCTATCGTCTTCAAATATCAATAAAGATGAATACATGGAAGTCGCAGAATCTTTGGCAACACCACAGAACGTATCACGCCGGAAAGAGCGACAAGACATACAAACCAACCAAACATTTGTAGGAGAGTCTCTCGACCAACGGCAACGAGCACAATCAGCCCTTCAAGAGCTGCATCGCCGGATGCAAGGTTTAAGCCAGGCAACTCGCGCTGCCTTCGAGATGCAACCCGGCTTTGAGAGTCTCGTCACCCTGACTTCAGAGCAAGAACCTACAATGACAGGCGAGGAGCAGAAAAAGATGCATACAGCTATCCAGAAAGTCATTTCTCTCGGAGCGTTTAGTAGTGTGCCTGTAGAGGACCTCAGCCAAGTTCTCCGGCTAGGAGAGCCCAGTTTGAAAGAGGCTCTTGCTCTTGATACACAGCTTGACCAGGAGTGGGATGAGGCCGCGGTTGATTCATGGATTCAGCAACTGTCGACTGTTGACACTGCACTCAAAGCCGCGCGAACCAGCTTGCGTATTATTTGCGGTGGGAGAGAAGACCGCCAGCTTTACTCGGAGAGCATCATTGACCAGAGCGTCAAGGTGTTCCAGAAGATAACTGACGAGATAATAATCCCTTTGGCAGAGATGCGCAGCTCAGGGCCCTCAGCAAACATCTTCAAGTTGCTTTTTAAATATAAGAGGGAACTTTCGCAGGTGTTCATCAATGCACAAAAATTGATCAACCTCGTTGCTGAATTGGTTGCCAAGGTGCAGCTCTCTGAGCTGGCTATCAACACGATCGAGTTTGTGGCATCGACCCTCATTTTTGTGGACAATGCATATTATGAAAAGGACTCGATCGTCGGAGTGCAGAAATTTGATGGTATCAGATCTGCTGCAATTGATACCCTCTGCCAAATCTTCCTGGTCAAGCCAGAACAGAGACAAGGAATCTTGAACGAAATTCTAACATCCCTCTCTAAGCTTCCAGGCAGCAGACAAAGTTCCCGCCAGTACAAACTTTCCGATGGATCCAGCATCCAACCCGTTTCAGCACTTATCATGCGACTGGTTCAGGCGAGCTCGGCGAGACCAGACAAAGGTAAAAATCAGCGTCGGGCTGCTCTCGTTCAGTCCATGGGACCCGAAGAAGATGATGACTTGGACGAATTACAAACTTCCCCGGAACGAAAGGCCCCTGGAGCATCCATCAACAGCGAAGAACAGGGAGCACAACAGCCTGATGTCGCTATACAGGAGCTCGGCGCACTTGTGCAATCCCCCAGCGAAGATGCCCAAAGGAATGCTTCTATGGTTGTCAACTTTCTTGTCCAAAGAGCCGCTGGCTCTAGTAAGACGGGTGAGACTCCATTCAGAAACATTCTCGATCACTGCGTCGAGGATTTCACCTTGTGCTTGGAGCACATCGAATGGCCTTCTGCAGAGCTTTTGCTACGCTGTTTGATGTCCTCAAATGTTCTACTCTTCGAGGCTGAGAAGACACCTGCACCCGTGAAAAACATGGCACTGGAAATTTTGGGCAATATGAGTGCTGCCATCTCTCGTCTTCGGTCGCAGGTTAAGAGGACAGCGAACTCATCCGAGAGCAACAACGCAGATGAGTTGGCGCAGTTTCTTTCTGATCTGGCTAACCAAGCTTTGGATAAAGAGGCTCGCACAGAGCTTGTTCTGTCTTGGACTGGGCCATATCGTGTCGTTTTGGAATCCTTGCAAGCATCAAAATCTGCAGACTCTCAGCAGGCAAGCGCTGCTTCATTCCTTCTGACAACTTGGGCTGGCCGTATTCGTACTTGCTTCGATAACCTTGATGAGGGTGACGAATCTCGAGAGAAAGAGCTTGGAAGCCTTGCTTACCGCCTGAGAATGATGGTTGATGATAGCACCTGGCTCTCTAGCCAGTTTGAGTTCAATTCCATTTCTGCCTACCATACGAAACTTGCCTATGCGATCATCCTTCTAGGATTGCCTCTTTGCGAAGCTTTTGAAAGGATGCTGAGCATCTTGTTTCGTTCCATGACCAGCGACCAGGCAACAGTCAGGAGCAAAAGTTTGAAGAGTATTAGTTCCGTTCTCGAAACCGACCCATCCATCTTAGATGGAGACTCTGCGGTGGTGGATCGTATTCTGGAATGTGCGCGGGATTCCTCAACCCAGGTTCGTGAATCGGCACTTGGTCTCATGGGTAATTGTATTCAGATGAGGCCCCGGTTGGAGTCTGTTCTTACACCTCATATCATGGACCGAGTGTCGGATGCCGGTGTTTCAGTTCGGCGGAGAGCCATGAAGCTTGCACGCGATGTCTATCTCCGGAACCGAGACCGAAAACTTCGTAGCGATATCGCAAGTGGCCTCCTTCGACGGATAACAGCAGATTTGGACGAGGGCGTGAGAGAGGCGGCTAGGCAGATGGTGGAAGAAATTTGGTTTGCTCCCTTCTTTCAGATGGAAGATACAGCCGTGTTCCAGACGACACTTGCAGAGCACACAGCTCTCATTATTCAGACCGTCAAGCTGGGCGGAGTGAGTGAATTACTTGATAAAGTCTTCCAAGCCATTCTGAAGGCTGAAAAGAAGGGACCTGTTGGGCCTTTCGAGGTTTGCTCAAAACTTGTCTCAAATGCGTTCAGCTTTGTCAACAACCCCGAGACAGAAGATGAGCCCTCTGTTCCATCAGGAAGAGACGCATTGCAGATGCTTACAATTTTTGCAAAGGCAGAGCCTAAACTCTTCACTTTCGAACAGATTCGTCTCCTCAAGCCTTTGCTGGCAAGCTCCAACAACAAAGACGAACAGATAACGTTTAGAGCAGTGGTCGTCATTTTGAAATCCGTTCTCCCACAGCTCTCCACCGTACACAACGACTTCATCATTGAGCTTAAAACCACACTGGTTCCGAAGATGGGTAAGACAGAAAACCGCGCCGTTCTGGACGAGATCGCAGCCTGTGTCCGGGTGGTTCTGGATTTATTGCACGACATGGGACCTATGGTCTCGTTGACCAAATCTGTTCTAATCGGTCTCAAAAAGCTGCAGCCTCCATACAAAATCCAGAGCATGCAGGATATAAAGAAGCTTCGCTACTTCTCATGGCTTCTCGCTGCAGTGGCGCAGCATTTCCAGCTCGATGAGCACATTGGCGTTCTGAAAGCCATTTTCAAAGATTTCAAGGGTGATTCTGTCGCACGTTTGATGGTTGATTACCTTACGCCCTTTACCGCTGGAACCCAGCAATCCGAGACTCGAAAGGCTGCTATCGATGGAATTGCTTCTGTTTGTCAGGCCTGGCCAAGGAACTACACACTTCCTAAGGTGTGGACAGTTTTCCAGCAGGCTTTCCACGACGAAGATCAGCCTTTGGAAAATATCATATTGAAATCATTCAAGGAGTTTTTGATCACCGAAGAACGCCGTTCCGAAGCATCGAGTAATACCGCCAACGCCAAGGAGAAAAAATCTCTCACCGTGATGGGAGGCACAAATTTTGATGACGTTGCCAGCGCCACAACACAGAGATTCCTTAAAGACATTACCCGGATTTGTATTGCTACCGAGGATGCACATGCCCTACTGGCGCTTGAGGTATTGGGAAGCATCAATCGTCAAGGTTTAACGCATCCGAAGGAAACGGGTGTCACGCTGATTACTCTTGAGACATCTTCTAACAAAAGGATATCGGAACTGGCTTTCCAAGAACATCGAGCGCTCCACGAGAAGCACGAGTCCACTATTGAACGAGAATATACTAAGGCTGTTCAGTCCGCATACGAGTATCAGCGTGATGTGGTACACAATACCCGTGGGGCGACAACAGATCCACCACAATCGAAGTTACACAATATGATGGATGTGCTCAAGATAAGCAAGATGAAGAATAGACAGCGTTTCTTCGAGAAGCTGGCCGGTCTGCTGGATTTCGACTTTACCAAGTTGGAAACACATCAAACAATACCTCCTCACTTGGACTTCACTCGCTTCGTCGTTGAGAATATTGCGTTCTTCGAATACCAAACCGTGGGAGAACTGCAGACGGTGGTGCATAAAATGGAGCAGCTGGTGACCGGCACGGGCGTTTCCATTGCCCAGATTGTTGACTCGGAAATTTTCAACGTGAGACTAGATGCAAACACCGAGACACAGATCCAACAGCAACTTCATCAGCAGCTCAATGATGGAGTGGTAGAAGGCCAAGCGGCGGAGGTGCCCATTTCAGTAGACCCAGGAAGACTACGCCAACTTGCTACCGCTTCTATCATTCTATTACTGATATGGGAAACTCGATCATACCTCCGTCGACTGTATGGTATGGGGACCCACAGGCATGACAGCAAAGCGAAGGCCCTGGCAAAAGACTTGAACAAGACTCCCCCGAAAACTCAAGGAGTCCATTGGGACAAGTATTGGGAGGAGATGACTTCACTTCCAAATGGCCTGGAATCTTCAATGCAAATGATGCAAAAATGCAAAGCATTTGTGGAGTTGATGAACGTGGACAAGGAATTCAAAGTCGCCGAGGAAGAGGATGACATGGACATGGGCATGGAGGATCCAAGCACTCCAAGCGATGATGATGGAGGACAGGAAGACAGGGGCCGAAAGAGGAAGGGTGGCAACACTCCTGGTGGCCGTAAGAAGCGACCTCGGTCCAGCTCGCAACCTCGCAAGAGGGGGAGACCGAGAAAGTCGGATCCACCTGCTGGATCAAACTCTAATGCGGACTGGTTTTAGAAGTCTTTTTTTCGTTTTCCGTTATGGCTTGCTTTTTCGGAGTTTGGGGTTCAGAAATCATGAACATCGTCAGCAGTGGGTGCATGATGCTTCATCACGGGATCAGGGATTGTATTTGGCGTTGCATTTACGAATATATGGCGAGATCAAGGCAAGAATCAGAAAAGACGGGCAGGCGTTCGCACACCTTATAGATATATGATGGCACATATATAGCTGTGCTATGGGCGGCATTTACTTCAACCACATGCGCACTTATCACAATGGCACACGCTTGGTTTTGACAAACGCAGTTGATGACTAGTATATTACTAGACGAAAATTATCCGATCAATCATGAGAGTAGCAATAAATATTGATCTCTTTATTATACACTATAATTTTCGATCTGAATGGAACATTATATGCCGTTTTGTTTCTCGAGTATGTATTATTAGCACTCAATAACCTAATAATAGCGAGCGTAAACTCGAGAATAAGCAGCTTAATGTTTGAGTGTCTTAATTTCAATGTCACCCACTTGGTAGGATAACTAGGGATAGTTCCAAATATTGAAATGAGTAATAGAATGGCTCTAGTTATAGTGAAGATGGGATTTATACACGTATCCAATTTCTCTTCAAATTGCAGTCTGATAATGTACAAGAAAAGCATAACCTCAGATCAGATAGCCACTTCTGCTTCTGCTTGCATAAGAATGTGACTTAAACTTAGATCCTAAAGCACACATCATAGATATGTGAACAAATTTCTACAGAGGGAGGTGTTTCCATTCCCCTCTTATATAAATATATCTTGGGGAGAAATTCATCAAAGCAATGGGTTTAGAAAGCACTGTTAGCCTGCCAATTGAGAAAACAGTAATCCTCACTTTCCACCGAGTAGCAATGGTACGATTAGTTCCCCTTCCCTTTTGACCCCAGCCCCAGACTGTCAATCTGCACACTGCCTCGCCGCAAGAATGGAAGTGCGCCTGGGAGGCGAACACTTCCTCCGGCGAGACTTGCGGCCCCCAAGCTGCCTTCGCCCAAGACACCGGGAGGAAGCCCCAGAGAGGGGATGCTCGACTCGGGCACGACCTCCAAGATGGACGCGGGGCCCAAGGTCGACGGCGTGCTGGGCACAGCCTGGCCCTTCTCGAAGGTGTCTCTGTAGAACTCCTCCAGGGTGGCTGCGTCCTGGCAGAATCTCTCCAGCTCATCCTTGATGAGCTCCGGTTCCGTGATCAGAGGCGGTTGGAAGTTGCTGCTGCTGCTAGTCCAGGGGTGGACCGGCTTGAGGGCGGGGGACTGCTGATAGAAGGCCGGCCTCACCAGGGGCGATGAGGTGCCCGCCGTCATCTCGGAGAGGTTGATGGCGCTGGAGGAGCTGATGATGCGGCCGCCGAAGAAGGTGGGCTCGCCGGTCGCGCTCGTCGGGGCGCGGACGTGCTCGCGGTAGTTGAAGACGCGGGCGCTGTACAGCCGGTTCGCCAGGACGATGAAGTCGCCCGAGTCGAGTATTTGCACCAGCAGGGCGCCGGTGCGGTGGATGTACTGGCTGTATTTGTAGTCGGGGACGCCCCACGAGTATCTGACCTCAACGTTGCTTGGGAAGCACGAGGCGGCCTCCATATCGAGCACGAAGTCGAGCTTCTTGAGGATGGCGATCTGGTAAAAGTGCTTGTTTGAGCTTCCGTCAAGATACGTCTCAGGTTTCTGCTCTGGGGGCGGGAGGGCGAGCTTGATCTGGTATGGACGTCTGAATGGGTTCGTCTCGGCGATGGAAGCCGCTTCCTTAATGGGGACCTCGACAAGACGAAGCCCGTACTGGCTGGCTTCCCTAGCCCAGCCCTCAACGGCATCTTGGACCAGTTTGGCCGTGACATTCATCCAGTCAATACGGATGTGGAAACAATTGTCTGGGTTGTGGAGACGATCGTAATGCAGGTCGACGCGCTCAGGGTGGTATGACCGCTTTCTACTATCAAGATCATATTTCATAACTTTGCTGAGTTCGACACGGGGTGGCCTCTTTGTGCGACTTTGGGCCGTTGATACTGCAGGCACGGGGGACGAAGTCACAGGAGACCTGTCTTCGGGCGGCCATGTCGCGGTTCTGGGGGATGATACATCGGATAGTTGGCTTGAGAGATGCGGATCCTTTCGTTTGTTAAACCACCCGGACTGTCCCTTTGAGTATTCACTTGAAAGCTGGTAGAAGTAGTTTCCGTCTCGAAACTGATGCCTTTTCTCAACATGGACGAAAAGGCCCTTGCTCTTCTCACTACTTTTTTCGTTGGCCTCCTTCTCCTTGTTCTTCGGCTCCTCGCGGACCATGAGTGCATTTCCAAGAGCTTCGGCTTCCTCTCGACTCTCCAGATCCTCAAAATTGTCCAACAGCCAGGTGACCATTTCGGACCCAATGAAAGAGTGAGAATACGACCGGATGTGCCACCTGCGGTTGCGCAGAGGCACCCCACCGTTTTCGGGCGGCTGCTGCATCGCCTCCGCCAGGGCAGAGAGGTTGAGATTCGACTTTTGAAAGCGATCCTTGCTTGACACTAACTGCCATTTTCGCGGAATGCCCTCAGCGCCTTCCACTATGGGAAGGGTTTCAAGCTCGGCCGCAATGACAACAGATGGATCTTCTGTTTTGTAGATGATGTTGAGCGGGCTTTGCTCGAAACCCGGGCGTTGATAAGGTCGGTCAGCCGGTGGAATATAGCGATTCTTCTGCCAGAGGCAGGCTAGGCGCTTGATACCTTCGATACGTATTTCCTCGGGACTGTCTCCGACATGCAGCTTTGGGTTTGAAGACTGGCGGGATGTCTGCGGGATCAACACAAATCTGGCTCTCCAGAATCGAAGGCTTTCCATCATTTCATCGTGGTGGCCTGCCAGGAATGAATCGATGGTGTTCCAGTTGCGATCCGGGTTCGGTCGAAGGATTTCGATGTGGCGGGTCTGATAGCCTTCGTCCAGCAGAGTCCGAATGGCAGGCTTGTAGGTGAGAGAGAATCCATCAGACGTAGATGAGGACTTTGGCGGCTTTCGGATGTAAATGTTGACTTCAACCTCTGTGCCGTTAACACAGGCTAGCTCATGGATCGTGTTTCCGACAGACATGAATACACTTGTACCATCCTCGAGAGCTTGATCACGAGAGAAAATGTCGGCGATCTTGATAAGCTTCTGCCCGAATGCTTTTGCGACCGCTGGCCCAACGACCACTTGGAAACCCTGCGAGAGGCGCAGGCTGATCAGCTCCTTCATGAACTCTTGGCGTGACTTGGGCTCCTCCATATCGTCATCAAGGTTTTGGTCAACATTGTACGGATGCCTTTGATATTCCACGTCAAACTGGGTCTTCGTGGGAAAATACTCGGTGGTCAGTGGTACGGCGGCTGGACAGCACAGGGCCTTCCATTTTTGCACCTTCATCTCGGATGTTTGAGGGAAGATATGCTGCCATCTGCTGTAGAGGATCGTGTCATCGATTCGATGTCTCTCCGGTTTTGATGGGTTGAGCAACGTAAGCCAAGGTGTGATTGCTGTTGTAGGGGATAGAGTGGACGGAAGTTCTGGGCCCACGCCTGCCCGTAATTTGTTGGTATAAACCTTTTGAGCATCTTCTGCACGTAATGCGTTCGAGTGCCTGACGTCTCTATCATCCACACTGCCTTCAATTCGAGAACTGAACGATCCGGGCACAGCTGATGGAGGGGGTGGAGGGTCCTTGGAGTTGATTGAGCTTGTTGCTCTTGATATTGGAATGCTTGGTGTTTGGGGCAGTTTTTCAATTGTTGGTGGTACCTGAGTATCTAACTTCCGTGGACGGGCAGATATGGAAGATTCTCGACTCGCAATGGTCTGTGGCGACGAAGGTCGTAACGAGGTGCTGAGCAATGGCATTGACGGAGCCATCTTTTCCACTGCAGATCTGTCAGAGGCGTTTACCGTTTCCGCCTTTACCTCAGCAATGGTAGCTTTTGGCGCAGCGACACCAAAGCCCCTTTGTCCGAGGCTAATCTGCCTGAGAAACTTGGGCGCCTTAATTGATGAGATGGCTTTTGGTGCAGCGTTGGCCTTGGCTTGGCTCTTCATCTGTGCTACAGCAGCCAAGCCTGGCTTGTCTGCGTCTAGAATGTTCATTGACGCTTTCCTAGAGGACTTGACTGAAATTGTGGGCTTCTGCTCAGGAACCGATGTTCCAAACAACCTGGAGTCTTCGGTGAGCTGCCTCCTGGTGTCCTCATCCAGATCCACATGTCTAGATGAGTGATGCGGACGTTTGTGTCGAGGCAGTTTTGCTCTCGTCTCGTCATACTCTTTCAACTGCTTCCACAGTGACTTTTCTCCAGGCTTGACAAGCCTGTCCGGACTAAACTTGAGAAAGCCATAAACGTACTCATAGAGAGTTTCTGGAGATCTCCGATTAGGGAGGTATACAACGTCAGTGGTACCCATTCCCCGACGCGCCTTAGGAGAGGAGGGAGGTAAGGTGAGCTTCTGGGGAAATAAGGGATCGGCATGCAGAGGCTTTGTCTCGATCTCGTTAGTCTCGAGAACGCTCCTCATCTGTAGATCGTACATACGACATCGCATGACAAACTCATCATCTCCATCTTTCTCGACCTCATTTGAGACTGTTACAGCAATGCCTTCGTATGACAATGCCTCATCCGAAGTCCCGGTCCAGTAGGACACATGTAGCCACTGCGGCAGTGCATAGCACCAAGCATCTTGCGTTTTCAACGATTGGACAACCTCGCTTTGTCTTAAGCTAGATGCTTTGGACGGAGAGAGCGATCCTGGGATGGATTGATAGCTACCAACGACGGGGGTTTGGTGGAGTGGCGTACTGTCACGACTATGGAATGACTTGGACATTCCCGAATGATGTTGGCCGCGGAACTTGTCCTCTGAATATTGAGGATTGCGAAATTTGAACAAAGGAACGGAATGCAAAGGCATTTGAGGCAGACAGATGAGATCTATTCCAATGCCGTTGTTGACAAGGGATTCGGTTGTCCTTCTCAACGTCTCATAGTCAACTTCAAACACGCCCGAGCCAGGAGTGAGGATCATGATGGAAATTCCCGTGCGGGTCAAATCGCGATCTACGTAGTCATTTGCAAACTGAGAAGACGCGAGGTTGATAGCCTCGAGAAGATTTCCATACATTGCAGGCGATGATTCGGCTTTGACGGTATTGACCGGTATGTTTTTTGAATCCTCCTCTTCCATGTGCTCCTTGAATTGGGACTGGGCTTGATGGTGGTGAAGGCTGATATCCCGCCTGAAGTAATTGGACTCCTTTTTCAATTGGTGAAGAATCGAGGTCCACTCTCCACTTGACATCTCACTCACAACAACGCGGTAGAAATCCTTGTAAGGCCGTTTGCTTCCAGAGTTTTGTGCGCCGGTATAGTAGTCACTATTCAACGCGTTGTAGGCTAGATCGGTTGCGAGTCCAGTGTCATATTCAACTCGGGCAAATAATACGATGCTAACCAGATGTTTCACTCTCAGAGTTGCCCATCTTTTGAATAGAGCTGGTAAGAATCCATTGACAACCTTGTTGAACATGATCTCACCAGTATCTCTGGAGTCAAAGTCCCACATTTCTTGGGACATTTGGATGAAGAGAACAAATCGAGCAGATTCACTGCGGAAAATAGGTCGTGTATCCCGCGTGAAGTATCCAGAGTGCACACGGCGGCCATTGACAAATACGGCCGTAACCTGGGCTTTGATTGTGCCCAAGAACAGGATAGATTGTCCTTTGTAGACGGTACGCTGGTTCAGCTCACCAACCGTAAGCCTCCATTGGTCAGCTCTCGATAGGTACTGGTCTTTAAAGAACAATTCGACATGCGTAGCTTGAATTGCTGGGTTATCTTGATTAATCTGGTAACTGGAGTTAGCGGGTGTCTGGGCTGTGGGGAAGAAATAAGGCACTCGTTCAACATACCGGAGCCAAAAGAACCCGGGAGCCTCTCTTGATCCCAAATGCATCCGCAATATGCTTCGCCACCGTAACATCGACATCCGGATATTTGGACTTCATCTCCTTAGGCATATCCTTGGCGAGGAAGACGTATCGACTACTAATGTAATCCTGATCTAGTAAGGAGAATGTGGGATCCCTGGGGCTATCTCTGGGCCCCGAATCCCAGGAGTGTCTACCCAGACTGCCATATGTCTGAGAAGATTTGATGCTATCACCCTTGATGGCTGTTATAGCCATTAATGCACCAGCTTTGACATCCCCTCCCAGACGGTCGAAGTTGAGGAAGACCTCCTCTCTCGAGAAGCCTTCATAGGTGCTGACGGTACAGTATCTCTCACGACTTTGGCGCAGTCCAGACTCCTTGATTGTAGAATGAGTCGAGGTACTTCGGGGAGATCCAGGGGGATCGCTGGATGAGCGCTCCTGGCTGGACCTGCTCGCATGGCGCAAACGAGTCCATTGGGGGCCCCTGCGCGAAGCTGATAGTGGCGCATTCAACGACATTGCCACGGTGGTCACTTAACGAGACGGGAGTGACATTCAACATAGGTTGTTGGCATCTCTCTAGATGCCCGTTCCAGGTTCATCAACTTGAACTCGGAGGTTGGCAGACAATACCGAGAACCATTCAACAAGCTTGTACTGATGAAGGTCGTTGAAGCAGTAGCTCGATACGGCAGAATCCACCAGTTGGGGAAGTTGACTTCACCGCCTGCCATTTTTAGACTGGCACCATTTAGGATGCGTGCACCACTTCAAGATGCTTTCGATTAGATCAATTGAGGGATCTAATTTGGCCTAAAAAGTCTGAAAGGTAAAAAGGCATAAATACAAGCATGAAGTAAGTACACCCGAATGCAACTCAGTGCACACCTCGCAAACTGGTTTTTGAAGACCGGAATACCCATCTCCAGGTCTTGGCACAGTACCTGGTTCTAGGTAGCATTTAATTACCCAGCCAATTTCTGTTACCATATTCGGGCGTCTCCTAATAAGTGTAATCTACGCTCAACACCAACATCCCTGAGAGGGTTGCACTTGTCGATGTGATAATGACAACATGACGAGAGTCGCTTATCCGATCTGACCGCTTCTTGGCCGCGTGTTGCTTGGCATGTGACGATGGTGAGGCGAGGTTGTGATAAGGCAAGCACTCTCAGACTTGGATTAATTACTGCATTTAATATTACTAGTGAAGGACGCCCAGAAATAAAATGTGATGAGTCGGGGGAGTGATTGGTTATGGGGGACCAGGTCGTTGGTGGCATAGAGGCAAAGCCAGATGCTCTCAACCAACAGTCCGCTTCTTCCGGCTGGGCGGACTCGTTGATGGCCCCAGGGAGGTCCAGAATAGATTCCCGACTGAAGGATAACGGCCAGCTCCATCTATTCCCGAGCCTCGACCGTTTGTGGGCAGTGTGCAGTCGAGATTTGTTAGTCCAAGACTAGCAGTTTTGTTTTGTTGTGGCTGTTACTAGCAACCCGAAAAGGCACCTAGGAAGCAGCCATGACAACTACAAAATCACTCATTGGCGTACAGAATGGGTATCGGCTGCGAACTGGGGCACGACAAGCACGCTCAACGATCGCCGGTGTGATTTCAATCACGTATTATGTACATGAATGTGATGGCAGAGGCCGTCCTGCCTTACCGCACAGATGTCTCACTTCCGCTTGGCTTCATTTCTTCATCGAAAAGTACCTGGCCGTCTATAGCTGCTTACCTATATCGGCAAGTGTCTCACATGATTTTGGCTGCTTCCCACAAGTTCTGCGAGTGGAATGGGGCCAGGAAACGGCCTGCAAGTGGGTGCCCTCTCTTTACTTTTTTCTCTCCGATTCCTTCGAGTCCTAGTCGAGGCTTGGCGAGTCTGGCCAGCGCAATTGGGAAGTGGAGAGGCGCGAGAGGAGCTGAGAGGAGAGACGATCAGACAGACAGGTTGGAGCGTGACCACGGACCGAAATTAGTAAAAGTAAGGGTCTTCATCAGCGGGACCCTTTCACCGCATTTTCGACGCTAGGAGGTGTCTCTATTGAGGCGTTCCATCAAGGCAACGATCGTAGCTTTCGCAGATAAGACAGACATATCGCGTGTGCATCACATGGCAGGCAGTCTTGGAGGCGGGGGTGGGCTGACAGACACAACAGCTGTGCGTTTGCTAACGATATGCGTCGTGGCCATGACATTCGCAGGCAGCTTGTTACACGTGCTCGAGGGCTGATCATCCTGTCGTGCGAGAAGCGAAGTAGGCCATGTGTGAGGAAGCCATCACTTGGCTGGTTGGTTGGCCACTGTGCACCTAAATTATCTGTTTGTGCCCGAGGCAGTCGGCGGCAGATCGAGAAACAAGAGACCAGCGTCTCATGCATACGTAGGAGGTATCGGGCAGCCCTATCGACATACTATCTGCCAACTGGAGTTGGAGCGAGGGCCAGAAACCCAGCACCCACCCCAGAGGCACATTACGTCCAGCCCCAAATCAATGAGTTGGTGCATGCAGTAGTGTGCTGCTTGTATCATCTAGCCTATTGCATGCATATCATTTCATCATGGGTGGGTGTGTACATGGGACTGCAGTGACTCAAGGTGTCCCACCGTGACATCTAGCGGGATGTCTTTCTTGGGGCAGGCAAGTAAACATTATACTAGGAAAACTATATTGCTCTCGCATGCGTTGCCAGTTGTGTTGCTCTTCTGCCAGCAGACCGCCCTTTGTGCTCGTTGAGCCTGAGAGTCGCTGGAAGATAGTTGTCGTCTATGGCAGCGGCCAGCAGGCAGGCAGACAATCAATCATCATCCCTGGGGATCACCTGTACCTAGCAAGTAGCCTGCATTAGGTATCACAGCAGATGCATTACGACGCAGCCACTAGCTAGTCATCTCGTAGCCGTAACGAGATGCCCCGATCCAAGATGCTTGGGCTGGGATTGCCGTCGGATAGTCGACATGATCGTCCTGCCTTGTGTCTCTGGTCCCGTCTCAGCAACCGCACGAACGAGACTGTTGTTTCTGGCTGTCGGGGCCCCTCCGACAGGGTTCTGCCCGTCGGCGAGTGATTTGAGTGCTGCGTAATATGAGGGACAGTGTCTGTCCTGGGCTAGTGCGCGCCGTCAGTGATGAGAGCCAGTGCCCGGTGCAGAGCGAGCTCGACCTAGGGCTCCGTTTTAGTGGGGTCCCGCAGCCCCTCACCTGCGCAAATGGAGAGCGCTAATGACACTGGACCACCGGCACCTGCCTTATTACCACTTGCAGGATAATCCCCTCGATGGAGTTGGAGCAATTTCTTGCTGGCGTTCCCGCAGGCCCCCCACAGGAGCTCCAGCACCAAGCTCCTAGCCTCTGCCCTGGCCCCTCTCCGATGGTCCAGCCTGCGTGAGGTCAATTATAGCGCTCGCCCGCGCTCTCGCATCGCGACTCGTGCTGCCCCCAGCGCCCTGCGTCACTTCCACCCACCGCCTGAGTGTGTGCGTGGCTGCGCGTGCCCTGGTCCTTGTGCTGCTGCTGCTGCTCGCCAGACATCCATCAAATCTCCAACCAGAACCGGATTTGCTGCCACACCTGCCCTCATCTCCAGCGCACAGAGGAAGAGTACTAAACAGCCACTGCTGCCGTTGTTGTCCGCTTCTTATCTGTCCCCTCTGCGCGTCGATCAGCTAAGCTGCTGCAGCTTACGCCGCCCATCTCATACGTACCTACATAACATCCTCCGGAATTCGCCACATCCCCCACCTCGATCGATTCTCGCCTCCCCCAAACGGCCGTCGCGCGTCTCCAGAACCTCAAGGGAGGACAGAATCGTGTTGCGCCGTGTCGTCTGTGCTGCTTGGCGGTCTATGCCGAAAGCCCAGCCTCATTCCTGGGCTCCTACGTTACTTCATATCCCTTCCTTCTCCATCCCGCGTCTCCTCACTTGAGGATGGTGATGCCAATCCTTTCCTTACCACCCCGGTCCCTCAGCGTCCAGCTTGCATTGTTGCTTCTTTAGATATCACGCACCTGCTGGACGCATTTCGGCACTCAGCACTTCTCACGACTTAGCACTCAATTCCATAATAAGCCTGGCCAGCACCTTACTCCTTGGCTCACACTCTCGGAGATATTTCTACTGATCTGCACTTCGATTACTATGGGCTTGGATGGCTCCTTGTTGATACACATATCAAAGATGGCCGTTCGCATGGATTCACCTTGATTGCTCCAACTCAACTCCTTTCACGCCAAAGTGCCGCCCGTCTTGGACAAGACTCGGGCTGCATTTTGACCGTGACCACCATGCTTGGGCGTCTCCTTCACCTGGGCACGGGCTCAGGCTCAGGCTCAAGCCAGCCCCAGGTTAATACTTCGCGAACGGTTTCCTCGCTCGAGTCAGTCCAGGAAGACATCCACACGCGCAACTTACTTTACCCAGACGCACATGCCCTCTTTCAGCATCGTATTGATCAGGTTTACCCGCTCTTCCCTGCATCGACGATTCCACCAACACCTTCAGGATCCAGTGCAGCTTTCGACACCAGCGACGATGTCGATCTGGATGTCCGCGATGTCCGCGTTCTCGTCATGCAGGATACCCTTGGCCATATGAATGCCTCGCTTCTGTACGACAGTCACCCGCCTCCTCCTTCACCACCCGTTGAAAGACCAACGGCGCCAGTTGTAGATCACAGGAGGACCCCGCCGGTATCGCGGAAGGGTAGTCTTGGCCAACCCTCTAGGCCAGTGGTCATTCAGTCTGAAAATACCCATGCCCGCCCCGGGGCTTTTGACCGCAGAGGGTCTCACCACTCTCGCTCTCACAGCTTTCTGGAAAATGATTCTCAGCGTGCTACTAGGGAATACCGCGAGGAACTAGCCACTTTTGCTGGCTGCATTTTCGGCAACTCAGAGCTCATGTCGTACAAGGGCACCTCGACCAAGGTCCATGTTGTTCCCACTGAGACCCGGTCCATCGGCGAAACGATGGCATCGATTATTGGAGACGGCCGAAGCTCGATTGGACGTTCCGGTTCACGCTCAAGCAAGCTATCGCAGTCCTTCACTTCCCAGACTTTCTCGCCGACAGCCGCTCACAACGGATCTATCTATTCTCGTCCAGTAGAGAAAAAGAAAGTGCTCATTACCCGCCTTTTTCCTGTTGTACTTCCCGACGACTCCTCAGAGTCCACCACGACGAGCCCTCAAGGCCGGTTTTCGGATGACAACTCTGGCTATCCCTTCCCTGCCACTGCGGACGACCCTTCTAAGAGAAAGACCTCTCAGCCCAGGCAAAGGCGAACGCCTATGTACGCCGTTGTATTGGTGGTGCAACTCCCTTCGTCTCGGGCCTCGACTGGCGTAACCCCAAAGTCCACCTTCAGGGAATCCGGTTCCTATAATGAGCAAGACTTCTTCTCTTCTTCTTATAACTCTACTCGGCCGTCTTGGTGGACTACCGCCGGCCTTGGAGGTTACGGAGATGCGACCGAGTCTTCTTTTTCGACTGATGTCGAAGACAGAATTGACGCAC